AGGCCATGCCGGACACGATTAGCCGATTCCGCAAGCACTCGCATACCCTTAGTCTAAGTATTAGCAATAGTAACGCACTTAGCTAGGTTTTAGGCGGTTTCTTAAACAGCGGCCTTAAACTGCTTAACATCCTTCTAATAGGCAACCACAGCTTCCTTATCCTTATCCCCTTTAGCAGGGTTTCTAATTAGGCTGTAGTATTCTTCTAGAGCACCCCTAAGGGCAGAGTACTCTTGGCTAATAAAAGAAGGAATCTGCTAGGATTAGTAAAAGAACCTGTGGAAGTTTGGATCACTGAGGTCAGGAATGATTTGGGAGATGGATCATTAGATTGTATCTACTACGATCGGACTCATATATATAGAGCTTCAGCTACCCTTACCAGAGGGTGAATGATCGGTAAACCTTCCTTACCAGAGCTCCTGCTTTTTGTTGGGCACTTGGCAGTAAGCTGGCAGTCGATCAGATAGTGGGTCATACAGGGGTATTGACCAGGATTGATCGGGATTGATCGGGATCAAGATGCTCCGTGATCCAGTTGATATCCCTCCTGCAACAGAACCCTATAGGACTTAGATACTTACTAGATTGCAATACTTATTCTAGGAGATACAGTACTAGCACTTCTTAGAATTCTTTAACTTAAAATTAAAATTATTAAACCTACCCCTAGCTAGAGCCCTAACTGCTCTTATATAGAGAGCGCGATGAGCGATAGAGAGGACTCCTAGTAGTACTAGTACTAGCATAGCTAAAGGTTCTGATTTAGATTAGCAACTATTTAATCACATAGATTAAATACTTACTAGATTTTGGATGGATTAGGTTAAATAATTGAAAAATTAGGGATATAGGAATAAGAAAGTTAGTGGGTAGAGGGCTAGTTATAGGTAGGCCGAGGATAGGGGTCCGTGCCCTAGGAAGCAGAGGTAAAGGTAGAATTATTTTGCAAAAAGCTCTTCTTTGATAAGGGATCCAAACCTAATCCTAAGGATAGGGACTATCCTTTCTCTATAGGAGGGGGTAGTGTAATAATAAGGTAGAATTGCCTGCCTATTATTCTATACTAAGTTAGGCCTAATAAAGGCCTGACTTACTAATATATATAGAGAATAGCTCGCCTATATTTAGGATAGACATATTCTTCTTGTCCTTTTGTACAAGACCTATAGGTGTAGGAATCTTATCCTTTTCTATACAGACGCGCACTCCTATATGCCTTTAAGTCGTATAGGATACCTTTCGGATGCCCTACCTACCTAAGTCGTTACACTTTAGGACTAGATTCTATATCTCCTGTAGATCCCTCATAAGCGGCAACTAGAGCTCCTAGAAAAAGTAGAAAACTACAGATTAAAGAACTACTACTAACGCGTGTTAGTAAGCAAGCTTAGGGATAGGACCCTAATAAACTACTAGGAGGCTCTATAAGTATAGGGATATATATAGTAATAGATTTATTTAGTATAGATCTAATTAGAAATCCCCTATATAATCTTTTAGTATATTCTAAACTAAACGCTATAATCCACGCTATAATTACACTAGTAATAGGGAGCAAAACTCCTAAAAACTCTAAAAGGAATACGCACTAGGACGCTCTACAAAAGGAGCTAAAATAATAGAAGGATCTCTATAACTACTAAATAGGACAGCAATTTAGAGACGTAGTATATAAAGAAATTAATACTCTACTAAAAGCTAGTACCTAGGAGGAGATTAATAGGCTAACTAAAGGAGAGCGTCTACTCCTACTTAAATAGGTGTTTACATACAAGCTTGATTAGGATAGTTACCTAATTAAGTGTAAAGCAAGGATAGTAGTAAGAGGAGATCTATAGCTTACTAACTTAATTTATTTAACCTACACAGCAACCCTAGTAGCTTAAACCTTTAGGACTATAATAGCTATTAGAGCTAAGTTTAACCTTAAGATATATTAATATAACGTTGTTAGAGCTTTCCTTAACGCCTTAAGGGATTAACACCCTATAGTTATCTGCGAGCTACCTAAAGGATATTAAATACCTAGGAAGTGCGTTAAGCTTAAACGAGCTCTATATAGATTAAAAGACTTACTATTATTATAGTATAACAAGCTCTTAACTACACTCTAAGAAAATAAGCTTATTGCTTCTAAAGAGGAGCTATACCTATTCTTTAATAGAGATTGTAGTATCTTGTTAATATTCTATGTAGACAATATCCTATCGCTCTATTACTAAAACTACGCAAGCTAAGCTTACAAAGTTATCCAAGCTCTAAAGCAAAGATATACTATAGAAGAGAAGGGACCTGTAAGCTAGTTTCTAGGGGTGAGAGTAATCTAGCTTTCCGGACTCGCCCATTCGTGACCCCTATCCCAGACGGGCT